TTAGACACCACCGAGGTGAACTATCTTTTGTTGTCGGTTTTGAATCCCTGTCATTTTCACCATAATCAGCTCTTTCCTTTCATCTTCTGTTAACTACCGTACTTCTCTCACGAGGGTTCTGCCACCCGCGTCCCGGAGCGTAGTTATGGCACCGTATCGATTGATTTAACGAGGAATACTTTCGCGGTAGCTGTCACAGTCACGCTCCTCCCGCAAAGGATAAAGTAAGGTCGACCGAAGCTATAGAGCACGCGCCGGTCTGTACATACTCGTAGTTGTATCAAATATCCCATTGAAAAGCACTGCCATAGGGACCAAAGTAAGGAGAATCCACTGAAGCATCAACCCCCCCAAGGAGGACTCAGTGATCACGTAAAGTGGCCAGCCTTATAGGGTGTCGTGATAATGTTAATTGTATCGAATTTGTTGCAATTGGGATGCTAAATACTTGATCCGAGTTGAATCAGCCTAACTCTCCCTTACCTCCGCCGTCGTCTGCCATAAACACTTGGCAACACACCAACTCATTGTCGGCTGAAATCGAAAGTTTTTGCAGCGAAAGCGGTGTCAACCTATCTAACTGGAAGCAACAGCATAGTGTCAACTGCACTCCGTGAGTCCACAGACTAGACTGTTCAACTAACAGGTCCAATTTAAATCAAGGTGATCTAGGTATGGAGAGTTGGTTTCGACGCCCCAAAAGAGTAGTACTGTCCATTACCCTCAAAGATATAACAGTTCGTCGAGGTCCGCCACATGCATCACAGCCATATAGCGCAGGAACAGTTAATTAGATTATCATGGGAGTACGACGCATCTACCGCACTCCCTCTCCCACCTGGGCCCGGTGCCATGGCCAAGTCAAGGAGACGCCAAATTACGTCCGCGATCGAAAACGGATCACGGTCTATGCTACCCACGTACTTTTCGACGGGCTGTACAGCTGTTGATTTCCCAAAACTGCGACTGAAACACCGATTTATTTGAAGGTGATCGCTGGGTGATAGCGATGGGATCGGCCCAAGTCCACGTGTAATATTCTCTATTTCACTAGTAATGCTGTACTTCTTTGCATAAAATACGTTGTCCTGTCAATAAGTATGCACTGACGTGCCCACTGTCCATCAGAACCTTCTTTACTCCCGGAAAACTCTCTCAGGTGGTTATGTTTTTCTGTTTTTTACAGGGCTTTTTGCAGCTATTATTTGCTTGAATACGTTTTTAGAAGAAATTGGCCTCCTGGAGTTATTTTGCAGGAAGCTACGTTTTTCTGAAAATAAGCTTTCAAGGTCGCCGAATGCTGATTCTTTGAGTTCGTTTTAATCTGTATTCGTGAATGCCAGTATATTCAGGTATCCCATAGTCCGGCATCTCATTCAACTTCCTATTCGATGTAGTTGTGTGATTTGCCAAAATAACTTCCTAGTTCTTCATTTAAGAATAGCAAAGTTGCAAATAAGATGAGAGAACAACAAGCACTTACATTTTTTGTAGTCCAACTACGAGACAAAGGTGGGTAGCCTTCGTAGCTGGACTACAAAACATGTCAGTTCTTGTTGCGCACATATGTTCCCTGAAGATGGCCTCCTGTACGAGTCCAAAAGCTCAGACTAATACAAGTGCCGCCCCAGTGATCGTGCCTTCTTTGCAATAAGAACCTAGGGCACACATATTCGCTTCCATTCGTGGGTAGTTAAGTTGTTTGAAAATCATAATTGCACGTTATTCCCAAAATTTTTATGTGCTTCCAAAACCAATACAGCGGGGCCTCGGGCGATCAGCAGCCCACTCCGGCAGCATTCCAGGTGATGAGCAAACCACTATAAGAACTATAAAATTTCTTTCTGAAAATAAGCTGTCGAGGTCGCCCAATTCTGATTCGTTGAGTGCGTTTTAAGCTGTATTCGTGAATGCCAGTATATTCGAGTATCTCATAGTCCTTCATCTCATTCAACTTCCTATTCGATGTAGTTGTGTGAGTTGCCAAAATAACTCCCTAGTTCTTCATTTAAGAGTAGCTAAGTTGCAAAGAAGATGAGAGAACAGCAAGAACTACGAGAAACAGGTGGGTAGCCTTCGTAGCTGGACTACAAAACATGTCAGTTCTTGTTGTTCTCTCATCTTCTCCAACGATGACCTCCTGTACGAGTCCGAAAGCTCTGACTGATACATGTGCTAACCTAGTGATCGTGCCCTCTTTGCAACAAAAACCTGGGGCACGCATATTCGCTTTTATTCGTGGGTAGTTAAGTTGTTCGTAAATCGTACTTACACCTTATTCCCAAACTCTTCATGTACTTCCAAAACCAATACAGCGGGGCCTCGGGTGATCAGCAGCCCCTCCGGCAGCATTCCAGGTGATGAGCAAGCCACTATAAGAACGTTTGTTTCGATTGACCGGCCTCCCTTCAGTTAACGAGTTGTCAGCGCATTTGTGTGTATGCCTGTATCCGCGGTTGGGTCTTGCTTTCAGGGCGCGGGTCCTCGGTCACCTGCAGCCAATCAGTGCACTGATGCAATTTGATTGGCTACGTTTCGCAAGATGAGCGTTTCACTTGACAAGCTCGCTGCCGGAATGGATTTAACTTTTGCGTCCGTAATACAGCAGATATTCTGCATAATTCGCATTGTTTTAATCATTTCTTTTGTTTGAGTAGACTACGGGTAATAGGTTACTGTCGCAGCCGTGTACTTTTCGAATAAGAGGAGCGTACAATATTGATTAATTTGCGCAAAATAAGAACATCTAGCATGAATTCATAGTAAGTGGTTTGATTTCGTCTTGCAGCTTACATTACCAGACCGTGTAAGTTTGTTGTTTTCCACTGTTTGGCATAACCACCGTTATTCTACTCATCAACCCTTCCATGACAGGTAATGACAATGCTAGAGCAATATTTTAATATTTTGTCTGGACTTACTACCTCTTCCCTCCTTCAAATCCTTAACGTTATCTTAATTTTCCCAATATTGCTCACTATTTATTTTCTCAAAATAGGCCTTGTCGGTGATTAGCTCCATTCAGACGGAACCCGACCAGCTGATTGTCCCCAGCACCTCCTTCTCTGAGGCCGCTGCGTCAGCCCTCCATGCCCGTCTAAATCGCCTCCTCTCGCTCCTAGTGGCCGAACTCACCCAGCTGCGAGCTCAGGGCGAAGCCCAACGCGAGCGTCTACTTCGAATGCAGTTGATCGAGTCTCAACTCACCAAATCTAAACGCGAGTGTGCCGACTTGAAGTCTCAACTGTCAGCTGCTAACACTCCCACGCCTCCACCAGCAACACAGTTGGCACCACCAGCCACGCTGTCTGAGGCCACATCCTCCTCTGTAGTCCCCCAAGCAGCGTCAACTCTCGTAAATCTACCTTTTTTCTCTACCTCCTCCCCTGTTCTGCTATC